TATATATGATATATACATATATACAAATATATATAAGTATATATACATATACATATGCATATATATATACATATACATATACATATATATATATATATATATATATATATATATATATATATATTCATATCTCTCTCTCTCTCTATATATGTATATATACGTATATATATGTATAGATATATGTATATCTATCTATCTATCCATCTCTATACATATATATATATATACACTTTTTTTTTTTCAATGTTTCATCATACCGTCAAGTGATCACAGTAAGAGACCAATATCCAAGAGAAGAAATTTACCTTACTAAATCTAAAGTTAATAAAGGTTATAACGGTTAATAAAGTTTGCAGAATTCATAACTTCATCGTAGCTTGATAATATTACCAGAGTTTGGGAAATATTATCCGGCTGTATCTCTCTGGGAGGACAAACACAGGCTATAATATTTGTCCAAGAGTTTAGGATATATATTCTAAGCTACGGTACAGAACGTATTATTTCAGCCATATTGCTGGTTACGTCCATGTATAGTACACAAGGAACACTCATTCCCAACATGTAAATAACAATGAATATTAGACAACCACTTCAAGGCAATGACCATATATTTTCATTTTGTATCTTTGTCTTTTTTTATGATTGTTGCTTTTTGTTTTCTTTCAATTCTTTCATTTACTCACTCTCATATCATTTCCCAACATTATGATGCACGGGATGAATTATAAAGTGCACGATGCAATAAACATAGCAGAACTCCCTGAACTTTTAAATGGATACACTCGTCGCCGCCTACACGATGTTACCAAATTACTGAACAAAAACTGCGCTAGATAGAAAGTTGCAAACTTGATCCCCGAGAATACGTTCCTCTGCATAATGTAACCGTTTCACTACAGTAATTACTCGCCGCTGGTTATGATGGTAGCTATTACTATTACTGTTATCGTTATTAGTATTGTTTTATTTCTTATACTTATCATTATTCTTATTCTTAGTCTTATTCGTATCCCTTGTTGTTGTTATTATTATTATTATTATTATCATTATTATCATTATTATTATTAATATCATCATTATCATTATTGTTGCTATTATTCCGTATTGTTATTTTTTATTGTTATTATCATTTTCGTCATTATCATCATCACCATCAAGATCCTCATCATCATCGTCGTTATTACTACTAATATTATTATTACTATTATTGTTATCATTATTATTATTATTATTATTATTATTATTATCATTATTATTATTATTATTATTATTGTTATCATTATTATTATTATTAATGATAATAATAATAATAATAATAATTATTATTATTATCATCATTATTATCATTATCATTATTATTATCCTTATCATTATCATTATCATTATCATTATCATTACCATTACCATTATCATTATCATTATCATTATCATTGTCATTGTCATTGTCATTGTCATTGTCATTGTCATTGTCATTGTCATTGTCATTATCATTATCATTATCATTATTATTATTATTATTATTATTGTTATTATTACTATTATTATTATTGTTGTTGTTGTTGTTATGATCGCTATTATTATTATATTATTATAATTATTGATACACTGATATAATTATTATGATGATGATAATGATGATGATGATGATGATGTTGATGATGATGATGACGACGACGACGATGATGATGATGCTGATGATGCTGATGCTAATGATGATGATGATGATGATGATGATGATGATGATGATGATGATGATGATGATGATGATGATGATGATGATGATGATCATCATCATCATCATCATCATCATCATCATCATCATTATCATCATTATTATTACTACTATTCTTATTGTACTTTTTATCATTATCATTAACGTGATGATAATTATCGTTATTACTATCCTCCTCCTCTTCCTCATTTATCACCAATCTTAGATCAAGTATTACCTTATTATCATCATTAACATTTTCAATAACAATGATATTCAAAAGGAAAACGAAGACGTAGAGGAAAGTGTAAAAAAACGTTACTAATACTAAGCCATAATGAACGAATCATCATTATCATCATTATAATCATTACCGAGTCATTCTTCACATCACGGTCATCAAACAGTGGTAAAGGAGAAGAAAAACAAGAAAAAAAAGAAAAGAAAGGGAAGAAGAAGAAAAAGATAAAAAAAGAGAGAGAGAGAAAAAGAGAAAGAAGACGAAAGGAAGAAAAAAGGTTTAAACAAAGGAGGTGCATACTTAATGTCAGAAAAGGGGGACTTGCTTCACTATTCTCTTTGCACAAAACAGCAGCTCATTATAGACCCACGAAGCTACACTGGGGGGATGAGGATGCTGCATCCTACGCTTCGAACAACACGTGGGAGGGAACGGTGCATGGATTTTTTTTCTCTCTTTTTCTCTTTCTGTCTCTCTCTCTCTCTTTCTTTCTCTCTCTCTCTTTCTTTCTCTCTTTCTCTTTCTCTCTCTCTCTTTCTCTTTCT